CCTTACACATGCTAGGCGAGCATGCTGCCACTGAGCTACACCCACCCCTTCTCTGTTATTTTTCAGTGCTTAGAGCAACAAAGTGGACACGCTCCCTGTTTGAAAGCTTTAGTCGTGCTATGTTTCACTGAAACAGGTGCTTTCCTTCCATCTTTGTAGTGACCATTTATTCATTGTGATCTATTCACGTGAAATGATAGTTTGAAGCTGAATATCTTTAAGGTCTTTTCCATACGTTCGATTTTTATAGTGTTTTCCTCAGGAGGAACTTCATTTTCTCCAAAGTTTCTCTTTTAATAGAATGAAGCAATGACTAAAAACTTGAATCCTTCTGTTTAACACATTCAATTAACTTAAAAAATGGTTTTGGGATAAATTCTGACTTTTTTTCTTGCTCTCCAATTATTAATTCTACCTCACACATGTCATCCAGTCAAACTTATAAATTATTGAAAGTATGGCCACACATGAGCATTGGCAATTGTGAATTTCATATTCAGGAATTTAGGAAGCAGAATCATCTCAAGGAATCTGCAGTTTCTTGCAGAGACGGTTCTGATTTATGGTCCCAACCAATGTCACCTTGAAAATCACCTCCCCCTCCCCGCTGTTAAAATTGCTGAGGGCAGGTGAAGCTCGTGTCCTCTAACTTGCAGGAAAACTGCTCTCACTTTGTTTTTCAACAATTACACTGTGCAACACACTTCTCAGAATCTGTTCTGTGAAATAGGAGTGATGCTGAGCTCTCAGGGCCGATGAATAGCTAAGACACTGTGCTAACCCTACAGAGATGCAAAACAATAGCAATCGCTCATCAGTTTGCTGAGAGGTGACAGATTCCAATTTCCTATTTTCCAGAGACACTCTCCTCATTACCAAGCAAAAGCGGACCAGTTAACTCACCCAAGATCTATAGCTCGCTGCAGTGATCTCATCCGTCTGTGTCCCTAATGGGGGCTCAGGCAGGTTGGGCGGAGAGCAGCGAGCTGACACAGGGAGACGTATTGCCTGTAGAGGCTGATCCGCCAGCCTGGCTAATTTCCTTTCCATTTTGAGAAGAGCAATTATTTTAAATTGCCACCTATCAAAATGACTTTGTGCTTGCCACTGAAATAGAACAAGTCAATAAAATATAATGTAAATGAGTGTCTCCTGACACTTTGACTTAAAAAAATTAAAAATTATTTTTAAAGGCAGAGCCCTCCCCTTCTCATGTAGAATTAAGGTAGCATCGTAGACAAGGCTTTGCGCTATGAAGCTGGCATGTGTCGCTCACTCCATCCTGGAAGCCTTTTGACTGTACCGCAAAACTATTTGTAACTTTGGTTTTAAATCACATTGATTCTGCTAGAAAGTTTTGTGAGGCAGGACATGGTCTCATGTGGAAAGTGATGGGTATAAAAGGAACACGCTGGAAAATTGGTGTTGGATAGGAAGGCACCAAGAAATCTTCTGCCTCTATCAAATATTCACTGGAATCCAGCAATACCTCAGGGAAGTGAAGTTTCCAGAGCCATGACTTGAACTCAAAAGATCTTAAGAGACTCTAGTCTAGTTAATTTAACTGAGTTTGTACTCAGCCCTTGGTTTATTAAACTGACAGAGTAAAGACATAACAAAAATACAGTTAAATTTTACTAAATTTTATAATTTCTCTTTAGAGATAACTTATTTTTAATATATGATGTGAATTTCAGGGGGAAGAAAAAGACATTTTAAAAGAATAATTGAATAAAATGAAAATCTGAAAATCTCTTTATTAATTCTAAAACAGTATGGCTGTCCCCAAGATAAAGTATTGAAAGGCATACAAGGTTCCTCTTATGGGCTGAGCTGGTAGCAGAGATAGAAAACAGTGAGAATGATCTCTCAGAGTAGAAAAAGACGTAACCACCTGCTATTTATTGGATAATAAATTGCCACATGATAATTTCATGGTAAATCATCTTAAATTCTTTTTCTTCAAATCTGGAGAAAAAATAGCTTTCCTTATTCCTTGCAGAGGACTTCTAAATATACAAAATCCATTCGTTCCTGATCTGTTTTTTGTTTGTTTATCTCAGTAAATTTTAAGCCAGTAGCAAGATGAACAGTTTAAACAATTGAATTCTGTCTTGTTATTTGTGAAGATTTTATGCCTTTTCCTTTTCTCTTGGAGAAAGAAGCAAGGTGCCTGTTCTCCCTACACAAGAAGAGCATGGAGGTGTATTAATTACACCACCACCAGGGGGAGTGAGGACTCATTTTTTCCAATTGGGATTTCAGAGAGAAAACATCCAGGCCGATTCAGTCTTTGTATTAGGAATTCAAGAAAGTATTTACTAGGGCAAGACCCCTTTCCTGGAGGAATTCGCTGTGCAATCTGGGGGAAGCAGATAACGAACATGATTACGTTGTGAGATAAAGGCTGCTGCTGTAGGGGGTGAGGCAGAGTCCTGCGGAACTCAGAGGGCAGCTTCATTTTCATTTAGATCCCATCTGGCTAGCAGAGTTGTTGCTTCAGCTGTTGCCTAGCAACCATGCTGCCATTGCTGCGTCCATCCTAGCAAAAGACCCCCCACCCCCCACTGTGATAATGTTCCCGGGAGGGCCTCCCAGGGCTTCCAGCCACCATGCCCAGGGACTGAGCTCACTGGCCTGTCTGCTGCGTTAGATAAGAGTGGCCAGTTCCTCATTTAAATTCTTCTCCAGGGTCTTACGTACACCTGCCTCTCCTGATTTTCTTTTCCCAGATCCACAGAATCAACATCTCCATAGACAGGATGCAGGCATGTGTATTTTTCTAAGAGTCCTAGGTAATTCTGAGGCACAGGGAGGTTGACAACCAGCTTTGGCTTTCTTCTCATGTTCTTGTCCAGGGATGGCTTTGAACTTAGAAAAGGAGGGATAGAAAGTGACTGTCGAGACAGGGATACAGAGTACAGGAGGGGACTAGCCCACTTGCCTTAACCTTCCTTACATGGCAGATATATCCCTTTGATTCGTATCAGAAGTTCCTAGATCTCTAGAGATAATAAATCTTAATTCAGATGCCCTTCTACACAACTGGCAGTAGAGTAGTTATTATAAGATACACATATCCCTGATCTATGTAAGCTTTGAAACTATGGGTTGCTGTATAGAAGACTACTGTTAGTAGCACGATGACTTCTGTCACCTTGGGGCAGGTGGGATTATAATTACTTGGGACAGTTTATCCTCTCACTGCGGATGCCCCTCCACGCCCACACTCACGGCCTCAGCTTTCCATCTGCACACTCAGAATGGACTGTTAGAGCACTCAATCTTCCTCCCTCCACCGAGAACTCCTCATTGTGAACAGCTAGCCTTCTCCAAATGATACTGTACAGGTACCAGACACCTCAGCCACAAATGCACTTTCTTCCCCAACTTGCTTTACTTTTTACTTAGTTGAGTTGGAATAATGACTACACGCTGTGTCACAAAGCACAGTGAATATTTAATGTTTAAAAAAACGATCACAGCCAGGCGTGGTGGCACATGCCTGTAATCCCAGCACTCGAGAGACTGAGGCAGGAAGATCATTGTGAATTACAGACCAGCCTGGGCTACAAAGTGAGCTCAGCCTGAACTGCATAGCGAGACCCTGTCTCAAAAAGAAAATGAAAAAAAAAAAAAGTCACAGTAAAAGATGCAGTGCCATGAATACACCTTAAAATACTCCTCCTTGTTTGGAAAATACTTACCATCCTTGCCATTTCTGAAGCAGTTCTGGAAGTCCTCTTTCCTGCGTGTGTTTAGCTGTGCTACTGTGGCTGCCTCAGTGTCCTGAACTGGATTTATAACATTTATCTTTCATGCTCATTGCGCTTTGGGGGAAGAAACGAAAGTTGCACAGCGCCAGACCTGGTAAGTGAGGTGGATGGGGTACACCGCGAAGTGTTTATCAGGCCGCCTTTCGTTGGCTGGCGCTCGGCAGCAGCACTCACCCTACTTTTTATTCCTGCCTGTGTCAGAAAGACGCTACCGAAAGAGGACTTCCAGAACTGCTTCAGAAGTGGCAGGAACCAGGCGGAGTATTTTTAGGGGGACAAATGGTAATGTGTCTTTTACTGTTAATTTCCTTTAACATTCACTGGAGTTCTCAATCATACTTCGTAACTGCCGAGTCAATCTCTCTCTCCTTTTCTCTCTGTCCTCAAAGCCAGCACCACTGAGTTCTATAGACACTCCTTCTTGGTCGCTCTACCTTTGACAAGCAGTTTTGGAAATGGTCCTCTCCCCTGCTGTCAGTCTACAAAATCCTACCACAGCCAAACCCCTTCCTAAAATCTGTTTCTGCCACCACTGTCCTGCATTGCAGAGCCCCCGGTGTTCCCCCAATGAGAGCCACGATCAAATCTGCTCATGCCCTGCACCCCTGAACCCCAGCCGCTCCCGGCATCATCACCCTCTTTTTACTTCCCAAGGCCTTTAGCAGCCCTCACTTAAGGAGAGTTCAAACCAAGGTCACAGAATTGTAAACCTTCCAGTACACTCAAGAACGAGGCCCAAGCTTGCCCTGCCCTGGAAATACAAAGTATGCTGCCAAAAATTAAACAGCCAGTGCACTGGTATTTGCTGGTTGGTTCTGTTTCACCCCCTAAGTTCTTCCGCAGCCCCTATCCTGGCAGCAACTCTGCCCAATTCCATTTCCGGGGATCTCAGCCGCAAAGCTCAGAAACACTGCCACCTCGTGACCGCTGGAGGACGCAAAGGGCGAAATAATCCTCTGATTTTTTTTTTTTTTTTTCCAGAGAAGAACTGAAACCTGGACACATGTTTTTCACTATTCCCTCTTCGCAGGCCTTAATTTTGAGAGGTTATAAAGCTCTACTCTTCGTGACTCTTTTATAGACATCTATGGATTTCCTCCAATTGTGTTATTGGAGGATATTGAGAGCTACATTTATTTAACCCTTCCTCGGGTTCAGTTCTCTTGTTGGTCCAAGGAATTCACCTAAATATTTTACTTTAAAGCGCTGTATTATGTGTCTCAGGCCAAAAGTGTCAACAATATGAGGGCGCCGAAGAGCTGATGCTGTCTTCTAATATGAATCTCAGACAGAGCACGAAAGAAGTACTCAAGGAGCTGGGTGTAGCGGCACACACCGATAATCGTAGCTGCTTGCGGCTAAGGTAGGAGAACTGCAGATTTGAGGCGAGCCTGGGTAGCATAGCAAGACTCTGTCTCAAAAAGCAAATAAAATAAGTAAATGGGGCCGGGGATATAGTTTGGCACTTCCTGGGTTCAACCCCCAGTACTGGACGGGGGGAGGAGGAGGAAGAGGGGGAGGGGGTGGGAAAGGGGGAGGGGGAGAGGGACAGAGAGATCTCTAGGGCTACACGTTCATTTAAAGACTGATGGAAAATGGACAAATATACAAACAGGAGATATGGTGGCAAGTTTAAAACTAGAGGAAAAAAATGTTTCTAATTTTTTTAAAGTAGTGGTTGTATTTTGCAATGTCAAATCTATCTTAAATATTGATGTACTGATGTTCCTCTACTTATCCTGGAGTTATGATAGGGTGATACTCCCTGTAAGCCCATCATAAATTGGAAATATTATAAATCAAAAATGCATCAGCATGCTCAACACCATGTACCAAACATTGGAACTTAGTCTAAGTTTCCATAAACATGCTCAGGATGCTTACAGTAGCCTTAGGCAAAATGGTTCCACAACGAGGAGCTGAATGTCTCCTGGAACTTACTGAACACCTGTATTCACAAGGCGCAGGCCACACAGTCCCCTACAAAGTGTGGCTTGCTTGTCTCTCATGACCTCTGGCTGACTAGGAGCTATAACCACTGTCCTGGAGGGAGAATCATGATACGGAGCACCAGTCAGGGAAATGATCAAAGTTCAAAGCTAGCACAGTTCCTTCTTGAACGTGTGATGATCTGGCACCACGATATAGCCAAAAATGCATACGCTGAACTGTTAGAAGTTAGGAACCATTTGGTTTCTCGAGCACCAAGAAGCACTTGGAAACACGCTGCAGTCACAGGACACTTGACAACAGGGCAGTTCTGAGAAATGACTGTTAGGAATGCTGGGGCTTTATGCAAACTAATGCAGCTAGCACATCCCTCGGCAACACCGCCCTAAGGCACCACCATCACGTGCGGCCCACACTTGACTAAAGCACTTAATGCAGCACGGGACTGTATTTTTATAAGTACCACGTGTGAACCCATTGCGTGACCGGAGCTTCTGGACTACATTTTTTAAACTGGTTTGAAAAAAGAAAAGGAAGTCCACAAAGCGAAGTGGCCTAGCTGCTGGCATACTGGTAAAAGGTTCAGAGCTCTTGCTCAGGGAAGCACAAAGCAGGGCTGGCCACATAGTAAATGTAAAACTTATAAAGTCTCTCATTTGTCTTGATACCATGCTGAAAAAAAAAACCCTTCTACTTTTTCTTTGAGTCTTTGACTCTATCCTTTAGCTATTACTTCATCCCATTTCCTGGCTCACTTTTGAAAGTTCTGACTCCGAATGACTCAGAACGGGATTTCTCATAAGCAGTGTAGTAGCCACTGGAGACTCTTGTACACAGGTATAGACTAAGTTGCTTTGAGAAGTCATTGGTCATTCTAAAGCTCGTTTGTATCTTGTGACCTCATAGAATATACACTTTATAAATAATTTGTTTTTCACAGAGTCAATAACTAATTACCAGCTCAGGCACCATAAATAAATCAATATTGGAAAATAAGTCTAAGTAGATTCATCACAGAATGATTGGTCAATTGACAGACAGCAAACAGCAGAACTACCACTTGGTTCAGTGACTCTTTGTTATAATTATTTTATTTTTCAAAATGATGGAACCAGGGGGCTGGGGATTTAGCTCAGCGGCAAAGCGCTTGCCTGGCAAGCGCAAGGTCGTGAGTTCGGTTCCCGGTACCGGAAAAAAAAAACCAAAAACCAAAACAAAACAAACAAAATGATGGAACCAGGCTGGGGATTTAGCCGAGCAAGCATCAAGGTCGTGAGTTCAATTCCTGGTACCGGAAAAAAAGAAAAAAAAAAAAAAAAAAAAAAGAAATCAAAATGGTGGAACCTATTTTGGCCACAATCAGGACTATGATGAGCCCAGTGGAAAATGCCAGAAGAAAACCAGTACCAGTTCTACTTATCTACATGCCTGTGTTACTTTTTACTTGCTTGTGTGAGGTTCCAACCCTAGCCATCCCAGAAATTGTGTGGTGATCTATTCCTAATGAAATACCCCAACTGGGAAGTTGTCAAACTTTGAGATTTTCCTGATGCTGAGCCCAGGATAAACCAGGGATATTTTTTGCCTAGTAGAATTGAAAGCCAGATAAACAAATAAGCAGAAGGAAATAAACAAGTAGGAGATTTCAAAGGCAAAGCAGCAAAGATGGGGACCAAGACTACGGAAAGAGAGTTCTCTCAGAGCCTGTCTGCTCTAATGGGTTTTCCATCTAAATCCCAGGATATTCTTCTGAAATGCTGATTTTCCACACATAGCTGTTTTCCTCCCAGATAAAATTTTCAACACAGCTTTCACAATCCCCGGACAAAGTGGCAACCCCTCAGCTCTCTTTGCGTGGTAGACCCAGTAAGCAATATAAAGCAACTAACCAATTTTTTTTAAATAAACAAGGTAGTTTTTCTAATGTTAACATTGGGATAAATATTGAAACTCTCATAACATGGTTATTTAAAAAAAAACTTCCTCAAAGCTATTTAATTTCAATAGGACTAGAAGCTCCCAGGTCCCAAACTACACTGAACTCAAATGGCGATCCAGCATGTCACTCTTCACCTTTCCTTTCTGTGCTTCTCTTACGTGCTGAGAATCAGTCACCTTTGGTCTTGATGATACACAAACAGCAAACTAGCCATGGTGTATGTGTTGTCAGCAGCTAATTATGATTTAGACCAGGGTTTTCACTTTCTGCTCAGCAACGGGAGATGATTCCCTGAAAGACCTTCCTTATGCGGTTATGTAGGCATTGTGTGGATTGTGTAGAATGGATTTGAGCACTCCATCTGTCCGATGTTGACAGGGTCCAGCAGCCCAGAGTCGGCTGCCTTGCTTTCCCTCAGTATACGCACAACTGTAGCCTGACATCACTTCATTTGGAGTGCCCACATTTTTCTGCTTTACCTGCATAAAACTCAGCACTGTTTGCTTAGGAAATTCTACAGGTGGTGTAGGATGCTCCAGTCATGCACAAGGCTCATGCGGAGTGCTGTTTGGTGCATATCCCTATGCTAGGCACCACCACCCCCTTCAATCTGCAAGAAAAGCCTCTCCCTTGCACCTCAGATTCCTTTTGCATATTTCTTCTTGCACTTTCAAATCTCTCATGAACAGACACTTAACACAGACCACGTGAGTAGGAAAATATTTTTTCACATAAAAAATTTTTAATGAAATCATGGCATGCAAATTAATGATTTATTCAGTCAAATATTGTCAGAAGATAAGGTTAAATTTCCAGATAGCTGTCTCATTTCACATGAAAATACCTTTTGTAGTTTTGAATACATTTTGATATATATTTGAACATGCCCCTTGCATTCTACCTTTTATATATAATATGCTGAATGTGTCCTCTATGAATCTGCATTGTTACTGAGAAGATCATTGGGTCTTCATTTCCCTGGTGTCCCTCATGAGGACGTGCTTAGGGATATGAAGCTGTTTCCTGCTACACAAACATCCCAGACTGAGTTTTCTAGGTTGCTTTTCTTTTTCAATCTGAACATACTTCACTGTCTTTTAGAGCCACTTCAGTGCTCTCATGGGTTGATTCCCAGTGGCCCTGCCCCTTAGTACATTCTAGATTAAGCTTCACGTGGCCACAGATGGTGATTACTTTATCCTTGCTCGAATATGCCAGGACATTTATAAATCTCCGCATTTATGGCTACCCTGATAGTTGGAGACTTTATTTTGCCATATGTAGGAGAGTCCACTTTCAGGATTAGAGAACAAAATTTACAGATGTAAATTCCGGCGCTCTCCAGGCTGACTTACCTCTGGCCCTGTGTAGAATTTCAACAAGCGGGATTCAAACTCTACACTTAACAGAATTAGAAAAGACTCCAGTCACACACCTTGAAAGTCATATGTGCAAATGCCTGGGATCTAATACAGTTTATGTGTAATTCTCTACCAGCAACCATAAATGAGGAGTGGCAACTTTTCTGTAGCCAACAAGCAATATAATTGTTAGGTTAAACTGAGTGTGAGATAGTAATAAATAAATTAAAGTAGTGGTGCGTGCTGCTCCTAGCTAAACAGATATCTTTCGAAATCTTGCTAGCTCAGGGAAACCCATCTGCACATCTAGAACATAATAATTTCATTTGCAGACCATCTCTGTTGGTTTTTTTCTAATATTAGAGTAATACAACTTCTAAAAATCAACCGAGCAGAGTTCTCATTTTGAATGTTCTAGTGCTCTTTTGTTGTGGGCGTTATCTGTCTTGAAAGTGTGAAAGATTTTATGGTGAATGCCATATGGTGAAAATGCTTTGATAATTTTTTTTTCTACTTCTTCTGTAGTTTGAGGGAGATGTGCTGGACACCACAGGACAAAGAACATGGTGGTTCTAATCAACGGCCCAGAGTCAGATGGCAGAAGTTCACATCCCCTTTCCTGTCATTCCCAGCTGGGCTGTCCTGGTCTCCACACCCTGCCCCCACTACACCCTCATCTCCAAGGACTGGACTTTCTCATCAGTAAAGTCGGAGGGGAACAGTGCCCCGACTCAGAGTCTGAGCATTACATGACACAGGCAAAGAAAAGTCTGAGAGTGACACCTGGCAAACAAAAAGCTCAGCATCCGCTGGGTACCAACAACCAACACTGCAGCATTGTGTTTGTTCTGGTAACTAGTGTTTTCTTCACCTCTCGTGATTCCTAACAGTTTCTCATCACCTCTGGGCTCTTCACCCAATAAATCAATGGAAAAGGAGAACAAGTCCAAACTAGGACAAAGCCATCAATGAAAGCGCTAAATTTACTTTCAGAAATCTCTAGGAGGAAAAACAAAGCAGGAGGCAAGACACTCATCTGCAGAAAACCGGCTCTGTAAAGTCAGGGGAGGATTTGTGTTTCCAAAGGGCTAGCAAGTTGAGACATTGCTGTAAAACACAGGGGGAAGAAGCCTGCTTAGAGTGTGAACAGTTTCCCTCTGTGCAACAGGAAGAGAGCAAACTCTCTGGGATGAGGAGCCAAGGATGGAAAAGACGGGAGGGAGCAGAGGCATTAGAACCAGTACAACAGCTACTTCCTGTCCCACCCTGTGCACACCTCACCACCAGCATCTTAATCCCAGAGAGCAGAGGTATTACAACCGCAAGCACGTCTGTGCACCCACAAGTACTGGAGTCTTGTGCCCCATTCCCGTAGGAAGCTCTAGGAAAAGATAGCTTCGCATAGACCCTGTGATAACAAGAGCCACAGCGGAGAGAAAGGGCACCCTTTTCCGGAGATTAGACACAGTGAATGGGAGTGAGGGTGTCCACATCCTGGTGAAATGATGTGTGGGCCCCAGTGACACTTAAATAAGTTTAAATCCAAACCAGAAGTGATTGGATTGTTGACTTGGAAAGGGCTTGCTTGCTCGCTCTTTCTTTCTTTCTTTCTTCCTTTCTTCCTTTCTTTCATTCATTCTTTCTTTCTTTCTTTCTGCCTTCCTTCCTTTCTTGTTTATTTATTTTCTCTGCTATTAGACTGAAATAGGAGCTTAAGAACTAATTTGATTTGCATAAAGGAATTGCTAAACTGAGTCTTGTGAAGGTTTACAATTTTGCCTCTTATTTTGATTTGCTCACTGATGTCCCAGAAGGTGACTTTTGCTTCCTCGCCTTTGCTCTGCTGGCTGTGAGCTCAAGCAAACAGGATCACAGACCTTCTGTCTCTCCCCTGATCCTCGCATCTGGCTGTCCTCTGCTGTGATCTCCTCTCGGCAGGCTGGGCCATGTGGAAAGGGAGTGTTTTAGATCTTCACTCTTGCTATGAATGAATTCTGACTTGGAGTTCAATTTAAAATCAATTCCCCATGGCCAGAAGTGTGAAGCTCCATCTCTTCCTGATTATGTCAGTGAGCTTTCTCCCTGTTGGCATTGCTAGTGAATCACGTTGTGCCCAGTGTCTACTGGGCACATGAAGCCACCAAATCATTCCTTAATAACGCACACTTACACGTTAAGTCAAAGTCTCCAGGAATTCTTGCCTTTGCTTCTACGCTTCCATTTCTCATGTTGTGTACTTTCTCACATTAAAGGACTTTTGAAGATTTTATATATGAAAAGAGTATTTCCTAAAGAAACATTTTCATTTAAATAGAAGAGGAGATATCAATTTAGAGGTGTTTCTGTGACAGTCAATAAGTTTTTGTAAATGTAGACTTGAACATGAAAACTCTAGAATTAAAATGAAGTAATGTAGCTAGAGAAGTTTCTTTCATCAGCGACATAGGGTTCAGCACAGCTATCCATGATAGCATCTATAGGAGCTTCTCAGATGAACAAAATTGTCAAGGTTGAGTGTCCTCTTGGACAGGGACATATTGCTTTGCTGGACCCCTATAGCCCTTGGAGTTAGGGCTGGAGTTGGCTTTATGCTAGCGGTGGCCTGTGCTGGGTATTTCACTGACTAGTCCTGAGGTGCTAAGCTCTAGTTTCCTCAGCGTAGCAGTCCAGAGAAGGAGGTGCCCACAGATGAAAAGAAAAACAAGAGAGAGACAGTTGTGGGATCAGGGGCCACAGCCTCTCAGACTGAAGCCTTGATTACAATCTTCTTCAGCCTTTTATTGGGATACAAACAAAAAGCATCAACAGGGCAAATGGGAGGAATCATTCACAGGATTGGTGAGGACAATACAGCTTAATTATTACAGGAATGAGACTTGACGTAGCTAGCCATCATGTTATCATTCCTTCAGACGTATCTCAGCAAAGCATCTAGTGTTGTCCCAGCGGCTTTCCACAGGGACACAGGTCCTGCTATCATTTCCTTTTACACTGATGCTTTTGCTAGACTTCCTCCAGAATCAAACAATCATATGGCTTGGTCAGGCCTGAAGTCCCAAGTAGGTAATACATTGAAAGATAAACTAAAGAATGTCCTTCTCCACAGTGGAGCACTTGCCCACCATATTCCAGACCCTTGGTTTAATCCCCAATACCATCAAACAAACAAGCAAACAAATTGCATGGCTGTGACAATCTTTTAATGCTACATGCTCACCTCCAAGGCACTTATTTCACACTGGATGAACATTGAAACAATCGATGTAGACAGTGGTTAAGGAAGAAGAAGAGAAGATAAATTCAGAGAAAAATCCTGATCTACCTTTTGGAATCCTTCTTCATTGCCGAGCATGCATGGCAGTATCTTTCACACGCTGGATAAGTAAAGTGAACCAGGAATGGGAACCCCAAACCATCACTTCCTAGACATTTAGAATATCCCATACTGAGTTATCCTGAAGTGAAATTTTGTGGTTTGTGACCTACCGTTTCAAAGGCTGCTATAAAACTTTTCGATTTAAATCTGCAGAAAACATTAGGTGACTGTCCAAAAGAACTTATCTTCTCACATTTACCTCTGCAGCCCTGAGCTGCACTCACAACATAACTTACCAGTTTCCAGAATTACTTTTCCAAATGGAGAGGATTTGGGGGTGGGGCATAAAGAACCTTAGGTAGAAATACAGTGAGGAAATCTATAAAGGTGGAGGTAAAATTCAGAGAGAAAACCTCAAAACTCCTCACCTAACTAGCTGTTGTCTAACTGGAACTTCTCCATCCAAATCTGTTTTGGTGGCACTCCCAAGAGCAGTGCTATGGGACAGCTTTGAACTTCCTGCAGGTATATGCTCTGTGTGAGATCTGTCCAAGATGGTACCCATTAGCTCTAGGTGGCTACTGAGGGCTTGGAAGCTGGCTTGTGTGACTAAAGAACTAACTGCCTTTTACTTCCACTTTAGTTAAATTCAATTTAAATAGTCACATGGGACATGTGGTTGAAGAAGAAATATATATTTTTGTCTTCTTTCCCCCTTTCCTGACATAGGATGCCTAAAATCCCTGGGATCCTGAAGTGATAGTGTCTTATTATATGCTAATGAGATAGCAGGTGGCTAGGGGTCCTGGATAACATCTGGATGGGGTCTGGTTGCCAGGGAACCCAGCCTGTGATCAGAGGATTAGCACTTCCAGCTCCATACTACTGCCCACCTCAAAGTTTCTGCTGATCCCAATTTCATTAATTATGCCTACACAATGAGGCCTCCATAACCCCTGGAGGGATGAGATTCTGAGAGCCTCTGGGTTGGTGAACACAGGGAGGTGCCGGCTTGAGGGTGGCCCATCAGGGAGTTGTGGCACCTCCTCCTCCCTCCTCCCCACACCCTTCCTGACACAGCAGCCACTTCAGCTGGCTGTACCTGAGCTGAGTCCTTTGTAAGGAACAGGTTATCTGCTAAGTAAACTCTTCTCCTGAGTTCTGTGGGCTGCTCAAAGCAAATGATCAAAGCAAAGGGAGTCTTCAGGGCTCTTTTTTGTAGCCAAGTCAAACAGGAGTTGAGATTAAGACCTGTTCCTTGTGGTTGGCATCTGAAGTGGGAGGTGGTCTAGGGGGACTGAGCCCTTAAACTTCAAGAACCGATGTTCTCTCCAGGCACATAATGGCAGAAGTGAGTTAAATTTTAGGACACCCAGCTGGTATCTGTAGAGAATTTCTTGCTGTGTGCGAGTAGGGGTGACATGCTTTTTCATAACCAAAAATTATACATAAGTATAGAAAAGAAATGTTTTCTCATAACCAAAAGTTGTATGTAAGTATAGAAAAGAAAAAAACTGATTTCCCCCCCCTCAAACCACATAACCAAAAGTTGTACATAAGTATAGAAAAGAAAAAACTGACTTTTCCCCCCTCAAACCATATGAGACTAAGGGCTACCATTTTGGGCAGCATTGACCCAGTGGATTTCCAGGCTTAGTTTATAAAAATGTTGTTGTTTCAGAAAGGGCCAACTTCTAGGGGCGAGGAAGAAGAAGCCCCATGTCCAGAACAGGAATTAAAAAGGCTACAGCATTGGGCCTTGCTGGTGACCCTGTTCGGAAACACTGAGATTCCCAGAGGCTGCCCCTGGGAGAACAGAAATGGGCTAAGGTACCTTTCATGATTCTCTTTCAGGCCCATGAGAATTCTATGCTATTCATTGTGTAATTGCAGTTTCTCTCTTCCTCCAGACATTTTCTTCATTTGGAGAAGTGGCGGTTGCTAGGAGACCAATCTGCCTTTTCAAAGTAGAGTATTTTAGAAAGAAACAATTGACATGATTTTCTTCCTTAGTAAAATGAAAATTGGTAAAAGGTTTGCAATGCAGAGTGAAAAAGTCAAGCTTTTACGTCTCTTGGTGTGTTTGTTTTAGCAATCATAGAACCTTTCATTTACTTTTCCCACTGCTCCTCACTGCGAGAAAGTAAACAAAGAGGGACAGCTCTTTCTGTATTATTTCTTGAGAAGGACTAATGCTCCTGGCTTGTTCCCAGGGACAGTGTGGTGCTATCTGTCCTGCTTCCCTCAAAAGCGAGCTGTAACAGTCAAAAACAACTTCTAAATAAAGCTGGAAATTACAAAGCACCATCCAACCAAAAATACATTAGTACTACATCCTGCAACTGGTTGTTTCGTCCCAGTACTTCTTCTAACTATGACTTTCACAGATTTGTAAAATCATTCAGTCTGAACACACCGTTTAATAAATGAAGAAACCATGAGTTGGATAAAGAATAAATTCTCTTTGGTTGTTGACTTGCAAAGATTCCATGACACCACAGCACCTTCTCAGGGAATCAAACAAAACTCTTTTAGATGTTCAGGTACCCTGCTAATCACTGTGGACATTTGAACTCCAAAAAGGGAGTTGCATGCATGAAGTGAAATTTTCTACGTGTTTCACTAAATACAACGGATTGTGCTGAGCGGAGTGCTCACTAAAGAGTACCTATTAATAATGGTGGTGGTGATAAACTAGCTAATAAGGATCTTCCAAATTTCTTCTTTTATTAGTCTATTTTTGCAATACATAATAAATACATTCACTGTGAGGAAGTAGTATGTATGCATATGTCTTTCCCAATTTCTTTGCCCTTATTTTAAAATATTCAGATGCAGTAACTTTTCATTGACCAAGTATGGAATTGTGTCTTGTGAAATTTGACTTTAATTGGCAGTCTAAAGTGGAAGGACTACATTTCTTTGCATTTCTGAACAACAGAAGAATCACAAAAAATCTAAAAGGGATATTTATTCTACACAGAAAGATTTTACCTTGCAAGAATGGTGTGTTTGGAAGAACCTAATTGATGACTACATGAGGTGCCATATTTTTCCATAGCAGTTGCAGTTTTTGTGAAGCCCAGATTCTGCAGAAAGTGCCAGTACAGAGAAGCACCCCAAGGGCCCTCTTCCTTCCATGAGCCAGGACAAGGCCAGCTCCTAAAGTGACAGTCTGATCGCCAGCAGCAGCACCCAGACACAAGCAGTCCCTCTATTCCGTCCCTCACACCCAGCTTCTCGCCTTAGCCTCGCTTTAGAGCTGGCTCGTGGCTGGGTTTGATCAGTGCACACTCTACAAGAGCTGAAATACCATATAGATGCCCATTCACA